CCCGGCGTGGAGGCGGCGGCGCGCGGGCGTGAGTTGAGCAGGCCGGCGCGAGGCAGGAGGGCGACGGCTTGGCTGCGAAGGCGAAGGTATGAGACGTTCACCACTACTGTCAGGAGAGGTTGAGAGTCGAACAGAAGTGATGAGAAGGAAGCTAAGAAACAGAAAGGGGGGGGGGCCACGCTGGGATAGTCCCAGGCGCGTGACAATGTACATCCCTAAGTCAGCCGCGGGTGAAATCGCCGGCGCGCCTAAGTCCCCACCGCAAGGGGGCGGGCTAGCGGGCGCGCGCATGAATCCGCCGGCGCTGGCGCGCTGAGGCAGTCGCGCGCGTCTAAGTCCCCACCGCCGGGGGCGGGCTAGCAAGTGCGCGCAACGACCGAGGCGCCCCTGTCGAGCTGAGAGTGGACTCTTCACACCCCCCCCACGCGAATGCGAGGCAGACCCAAGCCGCGGGTGTCGAGTGCGAAGGCCGAGGGCGTAGCAGTGCGTTGAGAAGACCTTTGGGCCGAGAGCCTTGGTGAAGATGTCGGCCACCATGTCGCTGGTACCCACATGCGAGAGAGAGATGTCGCCCCGATTCACCATGTCCCGAACGAAGTGCTCACGCAAGCGTATGTGCCGAGTGCCAGAGACGCGGACAGGATTGTGAGCAACTGCAGCAGCGGCTTCGTTGTCAGTAAAGATGTGAGCCGGTGCAACAGGTTGTACATGGAGCTCTTCGAGCAGCTGACTGAGGTAAATCCCTTCCTTGCCAGCATGCGAGAGGGCGAGGTATTCAGCGTCGGTGGTCGAATCGGCAACTCGAGACTGGCGTTTGGACGACCAGGACACGGCCGAGCCAGCGATGTAGAAGACGTAGCCCATGGTGGACACCGATGTGTCGATGCAGGCCCCCCAGTTCGCGTCGGAGTAGCCTACCACACCCGTGATGCGAGCCTGGCCGCGAGCATACACGAGTTCGTTGCGATACGTGGCCCGGAGATAGCGTAGGATGTGCTTGACCGCAATCCAATGACGACGACCGGGGTTGTTGGCGAAGCGGGCCAGGTAGGACACGGCGAAGGCGATGTCAGGGCGGGTACCGAGCGAAATGTAGAGGAGCGAGCCGATAGCCTGCAGATACCATGACCTGATCCGTTCGGTGCCTTGACCCGGGATAGCAGTGAGCGAAAGGCCGGGAGTCATCGGAACTGTAGTGCCGCGAGTCGTGGTGTCGAAGTGGAACCGAGCGAGCACGTCCATGATGTACCGTTCCTGGGATAGGGCGATAGAGCCGTCGTCGAACCGCCTGATCTGGATGCCGAGGATATACTCGGCCGGGCCGAGGCGCTTGACTCCGTAGCGTTGGTCCAGGCCTGAGATGACACGTTCGATTTCGGCCAGTTCCGGGCTGATCATCAGGAGGTCGTCGACGTACAGTGCGATGTAGTGTGGACATTGACGATCATCGAGCCAAGAGTATACGCAGTGGTCGGTGCCCGTCGCCGTGTAACCGAGGGCCCGAAGCGAAGCGTCGATGTGTCGATTCCAGATTCGGCCAGCCTGTTTGAGCCCGTAGATGGAGCGTCGCAGGCGAAGCACCTTGTCGCTGGGAAGGTCGAAGCCGCGCGGTGCCGTCATCCAGATGTCGTGGTCAAGGTCGCCATGCAGATATGCTTTGTCGATGTCCGCCTGGTGCACGTGCAAGCCGTTGGCGGCCGCCAGCGCGAGGAGAAGCGTGCGACCGGTGCGAACGTTTCGTTGAAGTCGATGCCGTCGCGTTGCCGATTGCCTTGCGCGACCAGCCTTGCCTTGTGTCCAGTGACTTCGCCGAGTGCGTTCCGTTTCGTTTTCCAGACGAACTTGGATGTAACGATAGTCGCACCCGCGGGCACCGTGGCTCGGTCCTCGATGGTGAAGACCTTGAAGTCGTCGCGCATGGAGGTGAACTCGTCGGTGGCGGCTTTGGCCCATACTTCACGCTTGTCGCTAGACATCGCCTCGCGCCAGGTCTGTGGGTCGCTCGTGATGGACTTGACTGGCTGAATTGCCTCTGTGTCAGAGGTGTCGTCGTCGATGGCGATGAAGGCGCGGTGGTGTCGGGTGAGGAAATCGATTTCGTCCGGAGATTCGTCGCGAGAGTGGCGCCCAATGAGGTCGAGTTCGTCGGGCGACTCCTCAGCCGATGCGGGCTCGCGGTACGTGCTGAAGTCTGGGTGGTGCACGTCCTGTAGATCGAGGCGAACCTGGGGCTGTGAGCCGAGGAGGTCGAGGGGATCGGCGGAGTCTTCAGAGTCGGTCGGTAAGGCCGAGGGTGACGATGACGCAGCCGACGATGGTGAAAGTGCAGGCGATGGCGCAGACGACGGTGATGAGGGCGACGCAGGCGACGGTGACGAGGACGATTCGGCATCTGTGAAGTTAAGTAAGGTTCCGCCAGTGTACCCTGGGGCCACGTCAACGGCGCTCATGGCAGAATCATCAAGGGGGGATGAGACGTCCATGTGCGCCGACCTTACTAGTGGGGTCCATGTCTTGACAACGGTTTGAGATTCGGTGGTGGGAGCGCTGGCGAAGTGCGTGTCGCCGTCTTGCTCAGTGGGGTCGCCATGTAATCCGGGGAATTCAGTGTCGAGGAACGTGGCATTTCTGCCAAGTATAATCTTCTGTGTTGTAGTGTCGTAGAAGCGAAAGGCTTTTGAAGCCAGGTCGTAGCCGGTGAAAAAAACGCGAACCGCCTTCGGGTCGAGTTTGGAGCGAAGTTCGGGCGCGACCGTAAGCCAAGCTGTACAGCCGAACGGGTGAAGCGCCGAGGCAGTGGTGTGGTCACCCTGCCAGACGGAGTTTGGTGTTGCCTTGTCCAGGGCCGCGTGTTGACACAGGTTCTTGCAGTAAACGAAATAAGCTGCAGCCTCCTCCCAGAATGTCTTGGGTAGGTGGGCGTCGACAAGGAGGGCAAGGACGCCTTCGACAATGGAACGATTGACCCGCTCTGCACGACCGTTCTGTTGAGGCGTGCGTGGGATAGAGTATTGTCGACGGGTGCCTCGTGTCTTGCAGAACTCTGTGAACGCTCTCGAACAGTATTCGCCACCGTTGTCGGTTCGGAGGACCTTCAGCGTCGCACCCGTCTCGAGTTCAACCTCGGCTAGCCAAGTTTTGAATATGCCGAAGACTTCGCTTTTGTGTCCGATTGCGTAGGCCCAGAGTTTGCGCGAGTAATCGTCAAGGAATGTGACCAGGTAACGTTTGCCAGTCAAGGACCGCTCGGGGAAGGAAAGCACATCGCTGTGTACAAGGCCGAGTCTCTCTGAGGAGTGCGAATCCGAATCGGGAAAGGGAAGACGATGGCCCTTTGCGCTGAGGCAAGCATTGCAGACAAACTTCTCTACCTCTTCGTCACTATATCCGGCCCTGAGACCCTCCAGCAAACCAGCGGCAACCATCTTCTGTATGGAGGACGGTGCGAGATGGCCGAGGCAGCGATGGAGAGTCAGCAGGGGCACGGACGACTGTGAGCGAGAAAGGAGAGCAAGGTGCTGACATTTGGAATGATCAGCGTCCAGCAAGTAGAGCCCTTCGTCGAGTCGTGCGCCTTCAGCGATGTCGTTGCCGTCCTTGTCAATGTGGATGCCGTGTTTTGTGAAGGCGACACGGACATCGTCGGTGTCGCAAAGTCGAGAGACCGAGAGAAGATTGACAAACAGGCCCGGAGTGTGCAGCACGCCGGTAAGCGTGATCGGATGACCCGAGGCGGCAATGAAGGCGATGTTTCCCGTTCCGATGGCGTTGATGCCCCCTGCAATACCACCAATCTTCGTAGGAGCGATATGGCGATAGGTCGTGAACAGCGACTTGTCCGAGACCATGTGCGAAGTGGCGCCCGAGTCGACGACAAAAGAGTGGTTGCGAAGCTGGCGACGACGAGCGAGAAGACCGGTGGCGAGACATCCGACATGGTGTTGCGAGTCGACGGTCGAGTCAGCGGTGTCGGGCTTTTTGCCGTCCTCGAGCGCCTTCTTGCAGTCGAGAGACCAGTGATCCTTCTTCTTGCAGGAGCGACAGGGTCCTGGCGGCGGGTGTTGCGCCCTCGTAGGGCACTCCGCGACTCGGTGCGAAGGGCTGCGACAGGCGAGACACTTGAGACGAGTAGAACGTGACGACGACGAGGCAAGAAGGGCCGATTGAGTGCTGGGGATGTTCGTTGACCGAAGTTGGACTCGCATACGGTCGGCAAGCGAATCAATGTCGGGGAGAGTTCGTTGCGTGCGCTGTTCATCGGTGAACGACGCCTTGAAGCTCTCGAGGGACGGGTGGGCGATTGCAAGGAGGAGTGTGGCGAGAACATCATTGATAGTTGTCTTTGTGTCGATGATCTCTTGCGCAACGGCTTTGAAGTCCATGATCCACCCGTCGAATTCGGCAACCGTGCCGGGCATGGGACGGAAACCCCAGAGTCGTGAGAAGAGCTCGAGCGTGCGGGTGGCGTCGTCAGGGGCGTACCGCGATTTCAGCGTCGAGTAGATTGTCGGCGCTGTCAGGTCGGCGGTAGGGATTTTGTCGAGGACTGCCGAGACTTCGGCCGAGTCAATCGAATTCGCAAGGACCTCACGAGCGACGGCGTCGCGAGCGGAGCGTTGCGAAGGTGTCCAGTCGTCGGGTGCGATACCGTCGAGGACGTACGAGCGGATGTCGTCCGCTAGGCACAGGCGAAGTTGGCGTGTCCAGTTCGCGAAGGTCTTCGCACCATCCAAGCGTGCGTGCTTTGGAAAGGCAGTGCGAGTGGTGCCGGACGTCGTGGCGGGTGTGGCAGTGCCGGAAGCGGCAGCGGTGAGACCCGACAGCAGCGATGTAAGTGCGGCGAGCTGTTCGGCGGGAATCGGAGGGTTGGCACCCGTCGCGAGGGGTGGTGTCGTGGTCATGCCAGCTGGTGGCTCGTGGGCTTATAACCTATGAGACGTTCACCACTACTGTCAGGAGAGGTTGAGAGTCGAACAGAAGTGATCTATTTCAGCGTACCTATGAGACGTTCACCACTACTGTCAGGAGAGGTTGAGAGTCGAACAGAAGTGATGAGAAGGAAGCTAAGAAACAGAAAGGGGGGGGCCACGCTGGGATAGTCCCAGGCGCGTGACAATGTACATCCCTAAGTCAGCCGCGGGTGAAATCGCCGGCGCGCCTAAGTCCCCACCGCAAGGGGGCGGGCTAGCGGGCGCGCGCATGAATCCGCCGGCGCTGGCGCGCTGAGGCAGTCGCGCGCGTCTAAGTCCCCACCGCCGGGGGCGGGCTAGCAAGTGCGCGCAACGACCGAGGCGCCCCTGTCGAGCTGAGAGTGGACTCTTCACAGTTGTGGCCCCTAGCCGCGCCCTCGGAACCGACCAACTCGAATCGCGGAACCGATTTGCGGGGCTCGAGGTCGAAGGAGGACAGGAGGATGACGTCGAGGAGGAGGATGCAGGAAAGGAGGGCGAGGAAAAGGAGCAGGTCGAAGAAGGAGACGAGGATACGGGCGCCAAGGCGGACGACGAGGATTCGGACTCGGATGGGAACGCCGGAGCGGGCATCGACAAGGCGGGAGGCGACGACAAGGACGAACAGGACGACAGCTCGGAGGGAAGCGAACAAAGGGAGGACGAAGGAAACGATGGGGATGACGTGATGAAAGATGGAGCAGAGGAGGAGGACGAAGGGACGGAGACGGAGGTGGAAGAAGAGGTCGAGCAGGAACAGGGGGTACAGGACGACAGCATCATGATCATCGACGACGACCAAACGACGATCACCACGGTTTCCCGCGAGTCGACTCCTCGGAGTCCCTCGTGGCCTCCACTATCTCCTGAGACGTTGGCAAAGTCGCTGCGCGAGGGTGCGGAGTGGGACCGAGCTAACGCCGAAGCTGCTGCACGTGTCCAAGCAGAAAAGGAGGCGATCATCAACGCCCAACTCGACGCGGAGGAACCGCTCGTTCGCCACCAATTTGCAGAGTGGGGTCAGGAAGATGGACAACTGCGATTCATCAACATTCGTGGCACCGGCTCCGGGTCGAACAAGAAGATGAAGAGGTCGCAAACGGTGGCCGATCTCAGCGATCCGAGCGACGACCCGGTCGATATCAAGCGCGTTCTGAACAGGGTCAAAGGTCGAGCAGGAAAGGAGGTAGCGGGTCAGGGGAAGAGGGTGACGAGGTCGATGTCGGCGGCGGCGGCGATGCAGGTCGAGGGGGCCAAGGCGAAAGCGGAGAAGGGTAAAGGGGTGGAGGAGGAGAAGCGCTGGTCCGACCACGAGCCCGAGGATGACATTCTCCCCAAATTCCCACTCTTTGAGGACGACACTACCGCCAAGAGCACGTCTACATCGTCTATCCAATAATGATCAAGCACACCATCACCAGCTGGAACGTGAGGAGGTGCATGGGGATCCCGGAAAAGCGACGCAACATTTACACCTATTTATCAACATTCAAAGCATCCGCCATTCTACTACAAGAACACTTCATCAAACCGGAACTCTGGCAATGTATCAAGGACGAGTACGAGGGCAAGGTCTTCATCAGCAAACACTGTCTGACTCTGATCCCCGCCGACTCGCCCCTGATCGACGCCGAGATTTTGCGCACCCACTCGGCACTCGACGGACGAATCCTGGTCACCTCCTTTCGACTTCGAGGCGACATCCGGATACTCGAGATCAACAACATTTACGCACCAGTCGATACAAAACAACGACTCACATTCTTTGACAAACTACATTTCCACAGGACGCAGAGCACCCACCTTCGACTCCTCGGCGGCGATCTCAACGACTGCCCGCTGTGAAGAGTCCACTCTCAGCTCGACAGGGGCGCCTCGGTCGTTGCGCGCACTTGCTAGCCCGCCCCCGGCGGTGGGGACTTAGACGCGCGCGACTGCCTCAGCGCGCCAGCGCCGGCGGATTCATGCGCGCGCCCGCTAGCCCGCCCCCTTGCGGTGGGGACTTAGGCGCGCCGGCGATTTCACCCGCGGCTGACTTAGGGATGTACATTGTCACGCGCCTGGGACTATCCCAGCGTGGCCCCCCCCTTTCTGTTTCTTAGCTTCCTTCTCATCACTTCTGTTCGACTCTCAACCTCTCCTGACAGTAGTGGTGAACGTCTCATAGGTACGCTGAAATAGATCACTTCTGTTCGACTCTCAACCTCTCCTGACAGTAGTGGTGAACGTCTCATAGGTTATAAGCCCACGAGCCACCAGCTGGCATGACCACGACACCACCCCTCGCGACGGGTGCCAACCCTCCGATTCCCGCCGAACAGCTCGCCGCACTTACATCGCTGCTGTCGGGTCTCACCGCTGCCGCTTCCGGCACTGCCACACCCGCCACGACGTCCGGCACCACTCGCACTGCCTTTCCAAAGCACGCACGCTTGGATGGTGCGAAGACCTTCGCGAACTGGACACGCCAACTTCGCCTGTGCCTAGCGGACGACATCCGCTCGTACGTCCTCGACGGTATCGCACCCGACGACTGGACACCTTCGCAACGCTCCGCTCGCGACGCCGTCGCTCGTGAGGTCCTTGCGAATTCGATTGACTCGGCCGAAGTCTCGGCAGTCCTCGACAAAAATCCCTACCGCCGACCTGACAGCGCCGACAATCTACTCGACGCTGAAATCGCGGTACGCCCCTGACGACGCCACCCGCACGCTCGAGCTCTTCTCACGACTCTGGGGTTTCCGTCCCATGCCCGGCACGGTTGCCGAATTCGACGGGTGGATCATGGACTTCAAAGCCGTTGCGCAAGAGATCATCGACACAAAGACAACTATCAATGATGTTCTCGCCACACTCCTCCTTGCAATCGCCCACCCGTCCCTCGAGAGCTTCAAGGCGTCGTTCACCGATGAACAGCGCACGCAACGAACTCTCCCCGACATTGATTCGCTTGCCGACCGTATGCGAGTCCAACTTCGGTCAACGAACATCCTATTCGATCAACTCTACTACGTCAGCGATGTAGTTATAGCCAAGAGTGATCAATGCATTTCAACATACCTATTCGATCAACTCTACTACGTCAGCGATGTAGTTATAGCCAAGAGTGATGAATAGGAAGCTAACAATAAGAGACCCGCGCGCCCCAAGTCCACAGCCAGCGAGCCTGGGGCTGAGCCAATGGCCCAGGCTCGCTTCCGCGCGCCTAAGTCCCAGGCTCGCTTCGCGCGCCTAAGTCCTGGGCCGGGGCGCCCGGCTCACTCCGCGCGCCTAAGTCCGCGCCCGGTTCGCTCCGCGCGCCTAAGTCCTGAGCCGAGCGGAGAGTGGATTCCTCACACCCCCCCCCACGCGAACGCGAGGTAGACTTGAGCCGTGGATGTCGCGTCCGGAGGCCTAGAGCATAGCAATGTGTACCAAAAATCTTGGGGCCTAGCGCCTTGGTGAATACGTCCGCAACCATGTCTGCTGTGCCAACGTGTGAGAGAGAGATATCACCTCGATTGACCATGTCACGGACAAAATGCTCGCGGAGGCGAATGTGCCGGGTGCCGGAGGTGCGAACGGGGTCGTGAGCGACGGCGGCCGCGGCCTCGTTGTCGGTGAAGATGTGAGCTGCAGCGATTGGGCAAACGTGGAGCTCGGAGAGGAGTTGGTTAAGGTAGATCGCTTCCTTACCCGCGTGCGACAAGGCCAGGTACTCGGCATCAGTGGTGGAATCCGCTACCCGAGTCTGACGCTTCGACGACCAAGAGACAGCGGCGCCTGCCAAGTAAAATACGTAGCCCATCGTTGAAATGGATGTGTCGACGCAGGCGCCCCAGTTCGCATCAGAATAACCAACCACACCCGTGACTTTTGCTGGGCCGCGGGCATAGAGAAGCTCATCGCGGTACGTGGCGCGAAGGTAGCGAAGGACGTGTTTGACGGCAATCCAATGGCGGCGGCCGGGGTTGTTGGCGAACCGGGACAGGTACGAGACGGCGAAGGCAATGTCGGGTCGAGTGCCAAGGGAGATGTAGAGGAGGGAGCCGATGGCCTGTAGGTACCACGAACGAATGCGCTCCGTTCCTGACCCGGAATTGCCTCGTGAGCGAGAGGCCGGGCGTCATCGGCACCGTAGTGCCGCGTGTCGTGGTGTCGAAGTGGAAACGGGCCAGCACGTCCATGATGTAGCGCTCCTGGGATAGAGCAATGGAACCGTCGTCCCAGGCGGCGTATTTGGATTCCGAGGATGTACTCCGCGGGGCCGAGTCGTTTGACCGTACCGCTGTTCAAGGCCGGAGATGACACGTTCGATCTCGTCGAGGGCTGGACTGACAATGAGGAGGTCGTCGACATACAAGGCGATATAGTGAGGCCGCTGCTGATCGTCAATGCGAGAGTAAATGCAGTGATCAGTGCCTGTTGCCTTGTACCCGATTCCTGGAGTGATGTGTCAATGTGACGATTCCAGGATGGCGACCGGCCTGCTTGAGACCGTAGATTGAGCGTCGCAGCCGGAGAACCTTATCGCTCGGGAAGTCGAAACCGGCGTGGTGTCGTCATCCAGATATCATGATCGGAGCTCGCCGTGGAGGTAAGCCTTGTCGATGTCGGCCTGATGAACGTGGTAGCCATTGGCAGCGGCAAGAGCCAGGAGGCAGCGAATGGAGGAGAAACGGGCGACGGGTGCGAAGGTTTCTGAGAAGTCGATGCCGTCGCGCTGTCGGTTACCCTGCGCTACAAGACGTGCCTTCCGCCCCGTGACTTCACCGCTTGCGTTGCGCTTGGTCTTCCAGACGAATTTGGAGGTGACGATGGTGGCGCCCGGCGGTACAGATGAGCGAGGCTCGATGGTGAACACCTTGAAGTCGTCGCGCATGGCGGTGAACTCGGCGGCGGCGGCCTCAGCCCAGATGTTGTGCTCGTCGCTGGACATTGCTTCGCGCCAGGTCTGGGGGTCGCTAGTGATCGATTTGACGGGCTCGATGGCGTCGAGGGTGGGGTCGTCGTCGTCTGTGGCGATGAAGGCGCGGTGGTGTTGGGTGAGGAAATCGATTTCATCCGGCGATTCATCGCGTGAGTGACGCCCAATGATGTCGAGTTCGTCGGGCGACTCCTCAGCCGATGCGGGCTCACGGTACGTGCTGAAGTCTGGGCGGTGCACGTCCGGTGGGCCAAGGCGAGTCGGGGTCTGTGAGCCGATGAGGTCCAGAGGGTCGGCGGAGTAGTCAGAGTCGGTCGGTGAGACCGAGGGTGACGATGACGCTGCCAACGACGGTGACAGCGCAGGCGACGGTGACAAAGGGTTTGTGGGCGACGGTGACGAGGACGGCTCAGGAGACGGTGACGAGGACGATTCGGTATCTGTGGAATTAAGTAAGGTTCCGCCAGTGTACCCTGGGGCCACGTCAACGGCGCTCATGGCAGAATCATCAAGGGAGGATGAGACGTCCATGTGCGCCGACCTTACTAGTGGGGTCCTCGTCTTGACGGCAGGGGCGGGCGTGTCGGCGGGAACGACGAACTGACGGTCGGTGTCGTCTGCATCGACGGGCGTGGTGACTGGCAGGCCGGGGAAGTCGTCGTCGAGGAAGGTGGCATTGCGACCAAGTACAATCTTGTTGATGGAATGGTCAAAGAAACGGAAAGCTTTGGAGGCGAGGTCGTAACCTGTGAAGATCACGCGCGCGGCCTTGGGGTCGAGCTTGCTGCGAAGGTCCGGGGCGACCGTGAGCCAG